GCGATCGGGGACCGGGACCAAGGAACGGGACCGGGATCGAAACAGGGAATAAGGAACTGGGGACCGGGATCGGGGACCAGGACCAGGACCGGGGACCGGGAACTGGAATTCAGGGGTGGGATCGGGAACTGGGAACCGGGATGGGGGACGGGTTTCCCGGAGATCACGGATCGGCCCCCCCAGGACCCTCAGGCCCCCCCAGACCCCCCCTCGTCCCCGTTCCCGCACTCACGTCCCGTCACATCCCCCCGAGTCCCGGGCGCTCCAGGGGGCGGGGCCGGTGCCGCGGGCTCAGCCAATGGCGACGGGAAACTTCCCCGACGTCACTGAGTGACGGGCTGCGCAGCCAATGGGGAGCGAGCGGCGCGCTGCCGGTCCGGCACGGGACGGGGGGGATTCCCCGTGTCCCCCCCGTGTCCCCCTCGTGTCCCTCCCGTGTCACCTCCGTATCCCCCCCGTGTCCATCCCCCGCATTCCCACCGACCCCGTTACCGGAGGGCGCGGGGGGGGCACCGGTCCCGGTCCGGAGCCGCCCCAGTCCCGACCCCGCTTCCCAGATCCCCCGCGGGACCCTCCGAGACGCGGCACCGGGACAGCCCCGACTCCCCCGAACCCCCCCGGTGCCCTCCCGGTGCCCCGGCGGGGGCGGGATGTTCCCGGCCCTTCCCGGTCGGGGCGGGACTTGGCGGGAGTCCCCGGGATCCCGGAGATCCTGGTCCCAGCCCCGGGACGGGGCGGAGGCGGCGGCACCGCCGGGGACCGCGGTGGGGTCCGGGGGGCCCCTCCACCCACAGGGGGCCCGTCCCGGCGGCGTCGGGGCTCGGAGCGGAGCGAGGGTCCCGCGGGGGGGTCCCCAGGGAGCCCCGATGGAGCCCCCGGAGCTCCCGGAGCTGTTCCCGGACCCCCCCTCGCTGTCGGTACCGGGATTCCAGACCGTGATACTCCTCGGGGAGGACGTGAGTGGGGTGGGAGGGGGCGTGGGGCGAGCGGGACCTCTCGAGGGTCCCCGGGAGTGTCCCGGGGGTCCCCACCGCGTGTCGTCCCCCCCCTCGCAGGGAAGCGGAGCCGAGGAGCTGCTGGGGCTGACGGTGAACCCCGACCTCGCCTGCGGCACCGCCCCGGAGCCCCCCCGGCCCGCAGCCCCCCCCCCGGTGCTGCTGGAGGTGGTCTGTGACCTCAGCCCCCCACTGTGCCCCCCGCACCCCGCCCTGCCCCCCCTGCCCGGACCTGTCCATGTCCCCCTG